GGCAGTACCTGGGGCCATCAGAGCTGTCTCCTGCATAATCGAGCTGTGGTCACCCTGAATAACTCTGCACAGCCAGGCAGACAGAGGGAGGGCCAGAGGTGGCAATTACTAGCCCAAAGTGAGCTGCCCATAGTCCGCAGGTAAGAGTGCTGCCCTCACCTGGTTCCCAAGCTTGTGGGGAGGGCCACAGAGACTGGGAGACCCCTGGGTGGCACTGACTCCTGGGACAGCTGAGGAGTTCAGGTCTTACTGACCACAGAATTCAGGAGGCAGGACCCACACTTGTCTGAGTACCTTCTAGGCCTTTGCTCCGCTGGCCTCTGCATCAGCCCTACTTCAACTGGGCAGAGGGAGTCCTAACGGGCAATGGAGAGCTGGGCAAAGGCCGGCCAGGAGCAAGCCCAGGCAGGGCTCCTCTCCACACAGCAGTGGCCCCTTGGGCCTGGGACAGAAGACAGCAAAGGAGGCGCACGGGAGGAGGGGTGAAGAGAGCACAGGGACCAGGGTAGGAAATGACAGGCACCCGCACCATGGCTCAGCTGAAGCGGCTCAGAGGGCTCAAGAGGAGGGAGCTTGGGGGTCAGGGGCAAGAAGGGCACCTCAGGGGCTTGGGGGCCTGGTGGGAAAGTTTCACAGATGCTAATAAAGAGAAGACCCTCGTGGCCCAGCTTATACCTTTTGGCCCCATAAGGGATCACCCGTCTTCAAGTCTCAGAAGTAGACAGAAACGTGGTAGGAGCCTACTGCCACGTGTCTGAAGCCCAAGGAGGAAGAAATGGAGGGGAGGAGCGGAAGGTCTCTGTGGCCTGAGAAGCAAGAGCTTGCCCACTGCTCCTTCCTAACCTGTCCTGGACCTGCTGCAGGCTCGTCTCCTTTCTCACACACTCACCCCCCGCGACAACTGCTCCCCCCACAGGGCTCTCCATTGACCACCCCTTAGTCAACCACTCCTGGAGGTCCAAGGTGCACCGTATCTGGTAAGGTGGAGACCCCTCCACACACTCAGGCCTCGGAGACCTAGGGACCCTCAGCCCTCTGGTTCTCAAGGCCCTGAGATCAGGCTTAGCACACCTCTCCTGTGCGGCTGGGGCTGTGCCCTCCACACCCACACAGGCAGGCCCTGGCCCCTCCCAGCTGCCTTTCTTCTCTCTAGACTCCTCCTTAAGTTCCAGGTTCAAGGATAGACAGTCTTGGTCCTGACACTGGGGAGGACCTCTGTCCACCCCGTGCCTCCACCACCCTGTACAGGGTGAGGCCTGGGAGGCGTGGGCTCCCCTCGCCCTCCTGCAGCACTTGGGCCTCCACCACACTGGAGAGTTGGCTACTCTATTGTCTTCATTGTTTGATGTGCTGGTTTCCCAGCTGGACCATAATGTGCATTAAGATACCTACAGCACCTGCTGCTTTGATTCTACATCCATTCATAGCAGGAAATGGAGAGAATCTACTACATTCCAAAAAGAAAAATGAAGGCACTCCTGAGATCACCACTGAAGACGTTCTGGCTTTCTCCCTTACACCTCCCATGATGGATGTTTTCTTTGTGACATATTAAGATCATATTGCAGGAACTTTTGTGTCTCAATTTCTGCATTCAACACTCCAAGGTGAACAATCTCCACATCAGGTCTACTTTAAAAACACTCCAGCCTCAGGACCACTGTCGTTCACGCACTGATCCTTCTGTGAAGGGCGGCTGGGCTGTCTTCAGAGGCGGTGGGCAGCTCTCGCATTCTTGGATCCAGACATCTGACAACCATAGGTTCCCTCCCTTCCTGGATACGTTCCTCCCTTCTCCTAGCACAGCCATTGCTGTGGACAAGCTCTGTGGGGAAAGTGGAGATGGCCATGGTGCACAAGCAGTGCGGGGGCAGACTGGCAGACATGGGAGCCACATTCCCACACCTGTCTCCCTGGCTCTGGGGTCCATCCCATCAGCATTGCCCTGGCCCTGACCTCTCCAAAAGGCCCTTCCCACCTGCAGGTAAGACGGCATGGCCGCAGTTCAAGCTGCTAGGTCTGCTTGCCGGGCTCAACCATCCATCACAGTGGGGACAGCCCAGAGTAAGTGGGAGTTGGACAAGACACGACTGGGGCCACAATCAAAGTTTCCACTTTTCGTAAACACATGCTGTGTGGCCCTGAGTGGTAAACCTCAGGCCAAGGGACAGAAGCCGTAAGGAAACAGATCCTGACTCCACATAAAGATGACTCTAAAGCAGCCAGAGCCAGGGAAGGAAGGAATGGGCTACTATTTTGTAATGAAGTGAATCCTCAGTCACTAGAAAAACAGCATGGCAGAGGTTATCCAGAAGAAATTCAGGCATGGAGAAGATGACCAGACAACATGACACTAAAGTCCCTTCACCTGAGAGGGAGCTGTGTCTCAGGTGTGTGACATTCTCTTGTCACAGGGAAATTCCATAGTACCTCCTCATCTGTGAAACATCCCATTTCCTGATGTCCCTAATACTCCTGGGAATCTAGCAGCCTGGCTTCCTGGAGCTACTCTGCATCTGGGAAAAGCATCTCCAGGGCATTTCAGAACCCAGGGAAATGTGTAGCTAACTGAAAAGCAAGCCACAGGGGACACTCCACAGCCACCATGATTAACGTCACACCACACACATGAGGGAAAGTTTCAGTAACAAAAACGCTCCCCTTCCTGTGCCAATCTCCATTTTTCCTGGTTGCTAAAACTTAATCAGCCTCAGGACTCAGCTGGCAGCTGACATCAGTTACCCAGGATGCTCTGCACGACTACTCAGGCCACTCCAGGTATCTGAAGTCACACGCCCAGCCCAGAGGCACTCAGCTGGCCTCTGTGTACAGACCCCACCTGCTGCTGCCACCAGATGGAAAGTTCCTAGCAGGGCCCTGGAGCAACTGAGCTGCTGGCCCCCATGTGGGGTCCATGAGCAGAGGCTCTGCACTCTGTGTGGAAATCTGGCCCAGGGCCCCACTTTTCCAAATGCCCACGTAGTTGCTCTGGTTCAAGGAGTCTTGGGGCTATTCAAGAGCTGGGAACTTTATCCTTTCTACAAAAAGAGCTCCTCTATGACACTGAGCTACAGGGGACCATCCTCACCTGCACATCTGACGGGCAGTCTAATGAAGGGATGTCTCAGAGAGGAAAGCCCCTAAACACTCAGAGCTGGGCCACTATCCCGCTCACTGGCTGAGCCCCACTTCTGTCCCAGTTTGTTGTCCTTCCCCCAAGGAATGTGGCAAATCAGAGATTATGTCACAAGAACCAGAAACAACACTCGGTTTAACTTTTAAAAAGAAAGAAAAATAAATTGCTATTTCAAGTTCAGGATTTTTAAAAGTTGAGAAATAACTGGCCCAAGCTGGTTTTGTTTTGGTTGCGGTACTGGGGAGTGAACGGGGGTTACATGGAATTACATCCCTAGCCCTTTTTAATTTTTAAAAGTTGCTTAGGGTCTTGAGGCTGGCCTTGAACTTGTGACCCTTCTGCCTTAGCCTCCCAAATCGCTGGGATTACAGGAGTGTGCCCTGGCACAAGCAGGCTTTGGAACAGTGGTTTGTGATGGGCTTCGTTGTCTGTCTTAGAGATGGAGATGGCTCTGGGTAAGCAGAGCTGTCCTAGTCAGGTTCCCTTCGCAAGTAGCAGGCCAACTCCCTGGTGTGGCAACTCCCTGGTGTGGCAGACACCACAACAAACCTGTGAGAAACCCAAAGTGATTTCACTGGAGAGCAAAGGGCAGTGAGGGGCCCTGTGCTGACTTCTGCCACTGCCCCTCATCCCTGGAGGCCAGGCAGGAGGCCCAGGCTAGAGAGACCTGCTTCAGAGGGGCAGGTGGCTCAACTCCGACCCAGGCCCACATTCTCGAGGACAGACTCGGGAGCCAGGCCTCCCAGGAAGCAAGGAAAAGTGGGGGGCAGTACAGGGCTTGCTGTGTTCACCTTGAACCGAGCCTCCAAGATAACATGTGCAAGAAGGTGACACTGGCACATAAGTGGTCACACCCACACCCAAGAAAGAGGCGTGTGACACAGTGGTTAAGCAAGTGCCCTGGGCCCAGAATGCCTGGTGCATGTTTCTACCCTACCAGTACTGACAGTGTGACCCTGAGCAAGCCACTTCACCTCTCTACCATGTTCCCCTCACATGGAGAACGGAGCCGAGAACAGTACATACCTCAGGGAGCACTAAGCAGTAAAATGAACCACTGAGAATGGCACCAGCACCCCCTGAGCCCCGATGACAGCATCAGCAATTGTGGGTGGGCACTGCTGTGTCCCCACATGCAGCCCTGGGGGTGCTGGTGCTGGCTCTGAGGTAAGTCGGAACCCTTGGCTCAGCCCACGGCCCAGGATGTGCTGTCCCTGACCAACCCAAAGGATGCAGAGGGACATGATGCTCCCTGCTCTGAGCCACCCCCTCCACTGAGAGAGGGAACACTGGACCCTAACGGGCGTCCTGGCTGGTTCCCTACTCCACAGGGAGCCAGCATAGACACACCATGGTTTTTCTTTTTGACCCCCTGAGGTCTATAAGACAGTGAGAATTACACCTCAGAAAAGCAGCCAGCCCTCCAAAACATCAACTCAGCATCTCCGCAGGCCAGGTCTGAGGCCAGGAACAGAAGGCCATGCCAAGAAGGAGCCTTTGCTTCAGTGGCAACTCACTTGACAGCAAAGTTTTGGGAAATAAAGGATATGCCTGGTCTCCAGCTCAGATGGGATGTGAAGTCACCACAGGATACCTGGCTGTCATCTCCAACAAGGATCCCTGATGGCTAATGGCTCCAAGGCTCTGAGTCAGGGACCCTACTGAAAGAGCTCTCCCCTTGGAGCACATCTGGGGCAGCGGTGGAGGGGGCAGTGTCTGCACAGGCAGCACCCAGCAGCCAGCTGACATGGTGTGGTCTACGTCACTGTTCACTCTTCCTAGATCCAGGACTACGTACTGTTTAAACTCCGGCGCATCCACAGAGCAGCGCTGGCTGGTGCTGAGGTGGCCCACAGGCACTTACCAGGAAGCGGACATCGTCAAAGCCATTCAGAAGCAACTTGCTCTCATACTGTTGCAGCCCAACCGACTCCAGCCACTCCCCGACGCTCTGCTCCAGCGTCCGTGAACCTGACGAGAGAGGAATCGGCAGACGCTTGAAAAGGGAAATACCGTTAAGGCGGTAGCAGCGGCACTCAGAGGAAGACAGATGGCACTGCCACATCATAGTCATTACCATAAAGCAGCCAAACTATGTACAAGAGACCAGAGCAGCGGGCACGCAGCTCCTCTTCCGTGGACAGGCCAAGGACAGGTGGCCCGCTGCTGCCCACAACTACCCAACCTGGGCGTCTGCTGCCCACTTATACCCCCTGGGTCTCAACTGCTCCAGGGCCGCAGCGGCACATGCACGACCTCGCCCCAGGTGGGGGAGCCAACCCCCAACAGTCTCCAGGTCAACTCCTCATCAGCGTCCACACTGAGGCGGTACAGAGAGTCTGTCCCCACAGGCACTAGAGGGGGCCAGGGGAGCTCCTAAGAGCCCGCAAGCCCCGCCGCTCCTTTCATCCATGCAACTTCTGGAGCCCCTGTGGGCTGCGGCGAGGGGCCAGTTCTGTGACCTTGCAGCATAAACCGGTCAGGAGAGAGCACACATCTTCATGCAGCTGAGGGACACAGGCACACAGCGAGGGCTCCGGGAAGGAAGCAGTGGTGGCTGTTCACAGGGACCCAGCACATGCAACACAAGCAGCACAGAACACGGCAGGGGGAGAAGAGAGACTTTTACTTGTTTTCCCCCAGCAGTCCCGGAATAAGCAAACCATGACCCCTGGCCCTTTGTGCTCAGAGGCTCAAGGCAGCAAGGGGCTGAGTGGGGCGCATGGGTCAGGGCGCGGGGGTCAGGCTCAGGTGTGGCTCTGCTGGGACAGCAGCATCGCATTCCGCCGGGCTGCACGGCCAGCGGGGCCAGGGCCCATCCACTAGACTCTAGTGGCCAGTGAGTGGGGCGTCTCCCGGGCCAGGACGCTGTCTGAAGAGCTGCCTTCCTGGGCTGGGCTGGCTGTCAGGGGCTGGGCATTCATTTTCCTCTTCTGATAGTGGCCGTTCCTGTGACTTGCCTGCCTGCTCAGGTGGAAAGCAGGCAGGCAGATTCAGTTCTTGGCTAAAGAAGACAAAACCCAACCAGATAAAAGAGAGAGAAAAAGGAAGTGGTCTTCGGTCAGCTGAGCTGTGGCGGCTTAAGTCTATTCACGTTCTGCGCCGCTCTCTCTTTGGCTGAGTGATAAAGACACAACTGTCTTCCCAGGGTCTCCAGATCTTGATGGTCTCCTCTATGGACGAGCAGGGAAGGGAGGGCATTTATTTGCTAAGCCCCTTGGTTAGGACGGGGACTGTGCAGGGAGGACAAAAGTTCAGCCCTTCCCGGAAGCCGTCGGCTGTTCAGAGCTGAACGCCTTAACCCCCACCTACTTCTCTGGTTCTCACGGGCAAGAACAAGTAAAAGGAAAAAAAAAAGGAATGGAGAGAGAAAAAGAGGCACAGGAAGGAAAAAGAAGAGCCAACTACAAAAACATCACCTCCAGTGAACTCTTGACACGGTGAAAGTCATTCTGTCGATCCCAGGCTCACTCTGCCCTTCAGGGCAGGACAATGACAACTTGCTTGGTTATCTAAAAGACCCTGATGACCAACTGTGGCAGCCTCCACCCGCTCTCCTGTCCTCTGCAGAACGGATGGTGGGCAGGGACCTGGGCGGCCCTGGACGCAGGCTGCAGCAAGCACTCCAAAATGCCGAGTCTGGGGGCTCCTGGAGCTCCCCTGCCCTTGAGCGGGGAGATCTGCTCCAGGAACCTAAGCGGCAGGCTCTTGAATGCCCATGAAGTCCGGTGGCCCCGGCTGCTGATTCATTCTGGCTTGTAATCCCCTCGCCAGGCAGGGCAGCTGTGGTCCTGCTGCCGCTGGTGGATGTGCGCTCACAGAGCCGCAGCAGAATGCTTTGTCTAGAGGCTCCTGGGCTCCACGCTGCCTGCTGCCGGCTCCACAGTCCTCGCTCACTCTCATAATGTCTGGCCCTCCCCTTTCTCCCCTCCCTGCCCTCCCCCCTTCCACGCTCAGGAAAATACATCAGGGATCGGACATCAGAGCAGAAGCTGCTGCTGCTGCCGCTGCCGAGGGAGAAGGAGACAGCAGCACCATCAGCATCAGAGCGAGATGACAGCCGATGCTGGTGGTGCCAATGCAAACCTAAGGGGGAGAGGGCACAACTTCACCTCCAGCTCAAGGGGCTGCAACTGCGTATTAGGGAGAAGAGAGAGGGATCATTCGTGTAGCTTTGGCAGATAGTCCATAAGACAGCCAAGAGAAGGGACAGAGGAATGACACTGGCCCAAAGGCATAGTCTATAGGTAAGTGACCCCCGTCGCCCACTTGCCACTTCAGAAAGGACTGTGCTTCTCATCACAAAAATGGGCAATGAAACAAGGCCACTGCCCCTGATGTTCCTCAGGTGAGCATGCCAAACAACGTGGGGACAGACTTTTCCCGAGGCCCGTTAGAGTCCAGGAGAGAGGTACCACACCCAGAGCCACTCATGCAGTCTGGAGGAAGAGAGCAAGAAACGGGAATGGCCAAGGCCAAGTGGGGAGCAGGCAAACCCGAGTACTGCTGGGGAGGGACAAAAAAGGTCATGTGTGCAGGGCAACACATCACCCCCCTAAATATGTTGGGAGCAGGTACCTGTATCCCAACAGGCTGTAGGTAGGCACTGGTGAAGAAAGGACTTTGTGTCCAGGGAGATCAGGCCCCAGAAGGATCCTGCACTTAAGAGCTACTCAACAGTGAAAGGGGCTGGCTTTCACACAAGAGAGCTGAGCAGTTCTCTTCTCGCTTGACAGAGCAGATCTCTGGTCAGAGAAGCCAGTGTAGCCAAGGTTTACCCTCCTGGACTCCTGGGAGTTGGCAGAGGGATTAGTTGTAAAACAAGATTGTTGGGGATTTGGGTAACTAGCTCAGTGCTGGTAACCCAGGGCTCCCTGGACCCCCAAACAGGACTGTGACTCCAATGCTATGGTCTCACCCTTCCGGGAGGACCCTCTGCAAAGCTGGCTGCCCTGAGCAGTTCATGCTTGGTCTAGGAGTGCCTACTGGAGTGTCCCTCCCAGGCTTCCAGGCCCAGAGCCTCGGTTTCTCTCAATCTGAAACCCAAGGACAACTGTCCATTCAAAATAAACAGTAATTCTGCTTTGGTCTGAGCTGAAGGACAGTGCTCTCTAAGGCTTCGGGGGACAGTTCCCCCGATCTATCACTGGGAGTTCACAGGCAGACTGGCCAGCCTCTCTGTTTCTTGGCCTGGCAGCAGTGCAGATGCTGTGGTCTAGGGTTCTGTAGCATGGCTGGATGAGCCCTCTGTTCAGATGGTCACCTGCATATGCCTGCTCTTGAATTCCCTAGGCTGGGGTTTGGAGGATGGCTCAGGACTCCACAATGAACACTGAAACAAGACTGTGTTGGGGTCTAGACACCCTGTGGTACAGACAGAATGCCTCTCACCATTCATGCTCATGAAGGCAAGAACTGGTGGGTGGGGCCAGATGGTAAGGAGGAGCTCAATGCTAGCCCTTCTGAGGACAAGGCCTTTGTGCTGCCCTAGCTCCTGACTGAAAGCTCTCAAGCACATGAGGTGATTTCAGCTGTGTTCCTTGGACACAAAGGAGTATGGGAGAGCAGAAGGTAGTCTCAACTGAACTGGATGCTCTTGAATCCATCCCTGACTATCTCCAAAGCACAGCTTTGAAAGTGGCTTCGGTGTTTGTCTCAATCCTGAACATTTATTCACATCAAACACTTGACCCTTGGAAAAGCCTGCACACTACAGCAGAGTGACATCACTTGACAGAGTATAAGCAATTGCCTGGAAATGAACCCACAAGCTCTTAGCCAGAAGAGTCACCTCTGTGGACTCCAGCGTAAGACTGACAAAGATGGGCCAAACCCCGGCCAGCCCTGTCTGAGCCCAGGGAAACAAGGCAGCTGGAGGGGGGATAGCTCCAGGACCAAGACTGAAAAACAGGGGAGGGAGCCAAGCCAGAAGAGCAGATGCCCTGTTCTCTAGGTTTCTCAATGTGAATAAGTAGCGATTTCATGGGGGGAAAATGGGCATAATTACTATTTACTGACTACCTCTTTTGCTCAAGTAGTTGTATATCTTACAACTACCACAAATCTATGAGGCTGTAAGCTGGGTGTGGTGCTATGGACCTATAAGCCCAGAGACTCAGGAATCTGAGGTAGGAGGATTGCAAGTTCAAGGTCAGCTTGGGCAACTTAGCAAAAACACTGTCTCAAAATAAAAAATAAAAATAACTGGTGGTGTCGTTCTGTGGAGAGTATCCCTGAGTTAAATCCCCAGTACTGCAAAATATAAAAAATAACAAAAATAACAAATCAGTTGTAGGTGGGGAGACACAGCTCGTGAGATTAGGTGACTTGCCAAGAGGCTTATGTATCTAGAGGCAGGATGTGAACCCAGGGACGTGGGGCTCCAGAGCCCAGGCTCTCCCCTCAAGCCCACAACCCCAGCAGCTTCTTGGTCCCTGATGTTCACATGCATCGTGTGTCATCCCCCCCAACCCACCCAGGGCCACAGAGGTCCACGGAGGAATAGGTAGTCCCGCTCAATGCTGCCAGGTTAATCCTGGAAGAAGCCCCCAAGTGAGCAAGAAGTCCCCACATCCAGTGCAGAGGCCTGTTCACCAGTCAGGGGAGAAACCAGGCTCCTCCCAGGCTGCATTTAGCCCAAGAGCCCTGGTGCCAGGACATCTGTGCGGATGCTGGGGGAGGGGCTGAGAGCTGCTCTGAGAAGCACTTTAAGAACATCTCCTCCCTGGGAAAGAGACATGGCATGACCCTGTCATCAAGGGAACTCAGCTCCCCAGCTCCACAGTTCCATTTCATATGGGAAACAGAGACAGACCTCAACCCAATGCCTCGGATATGAAAAGAATGACTAAATAGTAGGGACTTGGGGTACACTTGGTAAGAGACTAAATAAACCAGAAAATAGAAACAGACACAGGGAGAAACAGCAAAGTCACCTCCAGATAGTCCAACACATGCTGACAACGTTGGAAAAAAAAAAACAACAAAAAACACTGGACTGGCCCTAAGCTGTGCCGCTGGCTTGAATGACACCAGCGTGGGCCTTGCGCTCATGAGCTGTACCACAGCCACCTTGGGAGCCTGAAAGACCAGCACTGAGGCGCACTCCAGCTGAATCCAACAAAGTCACATTTGAAAAAGGAGGAGTGATAATTGTTTATTAAAAATTTTTTTCTTGGCCGGGGATACAGCTCAGTTGGTAGAGTGCTTGCCTCGAATGCACAAGGCTCTGGGTTCAATCCCCAGTACCACACACACATACACACACACACACACACACACAAAATATTTCTTAATAGGTGCCTAAAATTCAATATGTACACTTTCCCCAATATGCTGGAGGAGCCACATCTCCCATGGTAGGAAACATGATGGGCTGTCCTGACACGGGGTGTATGTGTGTGTGTGTGTGTGGGGGGGGGGGGGGGGGGTTCTGAACTGCAAGAGCATGATGTAGTCTGCAGCTGCCCCTCTCCCACGCTAAATGCCTGTCTAAGTCAGAGGGAAAACCTGAGCCCCAAAGAGCCAGAAGTCAAATCCTGCTGGACAATAGTGTGGGATACGGTACCTGAGATCTTCTGCTGTTCCTGAGAAAAGTCGATCCCTTCTCCAATAGAGCTCATGATTTTCTCAATCTGAAACAGAGGAAGAGGAACAAAGAGAGGTAGTCAGGCTTGGATTCACTGTGGCCAGCTCACCGTCAATGTCACTCAGGCTGCACTCCGGGCTCTTTCAGATGTTCCCAGTTCCAGTACCAACCTGCAAGGTATCAGAACTCTCTGCTGCTTGGATCTAGAAAAGCTCTTCTCTGGCCCACCAAGAAGGTGTGGAGAACTGTCCCCACTTCACTCCCTTCAGAGCAATCTGGTCTCCACTGCTAGAAACACCAACAAGCCTCCATTTAGGGGCATTTGTGATCATCCACGCCTTGGAACAGACTGGGGAGAAGTGCAATAGCAGGCCAGACCTGGCACATTTCACTGCTCATGCTAGAATTTAAATTCACTGAGAGTGCCAGCTCTGTTCTATGCTACACCCCAAGACTAGAGGAGAGCCTGGCAAATCGCGAGCACCCAACATATCATTGATATTACATGGCTTTCAGCTCTGAGGTGTGGACCACGTCTAGAGATGACACCAGCAGAGCATCTGCATATGGGGACCTCTTGGAAGCCAAGGGCAGGCAGGCAGCCTGGAGGCTGGCAGTCGTGGACAGAGAACTGCAACAAGGGGAGAAGGGACACAGACACTTGCTCTTCTTCTGGACCACAGCAGAGAAAGGTTCTCAACGCATCCAAGTCTCCTAAGCACCACCCCCTATATGGACCACCTGTCCCAGCCATCTGGCTTTGGTCACTCTGGGTCAGATCCAAGCTTCCCATCCCAGGAAACCTGGCCAGGCGCATGACTAGACAGTGAGAGGAGCCACCTTCTCTTCTCCTCCTCTTCCTATTTGGGCTGCAGTGATAATGAGCTCATTCACTGCTTTTTCCAAAGAAATGAAAAGAGGACCTTTTGTACCAGGGCTTGGATGCTTTTTCCTTTAAGTGCAAGTAAGGAGCCTGGGTCTGACAATCAGAACAACAACTCTCCAGCCAGCCTCCAGCTGGCAGACGAGGAGGCACATCTGACACCCAGCCGAAGAGCAGACAGCAGGCACCACCTCTCCCCCTGCAGCCAGGAGCTCGGGAGGTATTTTCCTCTAGCCACAGAAATGACCGCTGGCTCAGTCACCTGACTGCTGGTTAACTCAGATTGCCATCCCCACCCTGGAGCTCAGCAAAAGCCCAGGGAAGCAAACACATCTGACTCCAGGAGCCAACTGGGGGTGTGGCTCTCCTTCCTGGCCCAGCAGCTCAGAGGCAGACATCAGAAGCGGGGGTGCAGGGAGGCCCAGGTAAGGTCTGCACTGCCCCTTGAAGAGCATGGCCAGCCCAAGGCATTACTTCCTCTGTCGTGCCCATTTCAGGAGCTACAGCACAAGGGAGCAACCCAGACAGACAGGCAAGTGCCGTCACCCTCCCAAAGTCTCAGATTTAAATGTATAAACAGGGACTGTCACTGCCTCCCATATGGTGTGGCATGGGTTGAAAGATACTGTGTATGTCAAGTGTGCGGCCAGACAGCCCAAGTGTTGCTCAACAAAAAGTTAGTTTGCGTCCCACTCCCCTCTGTTGTCCTCAGGTGCTCTAGATCAGGAAATCAATTTTTAAAAAATTAATTAATTAAATTTAATTTTTTTTTTTACACAAATGGAGCATGACTTTTCACTTCTCTGGTTGTACATGATGCAGAGTCGTACCATTTGTGCAATCATAGCCATACACAGGCGTAATAATATCCACCTCATTCTACCATCTTGCCCCCACAGGAAAACCGAATTTTTAAGTTTTCAAAAATATTTTTATTTATCCTTATTTTCTAAAAGAAAATCTGTGGAAGTCTCCCTCCTCTCTCTGCTTCATCTTCTCTCTGGAGGCAGTCCACATAGTAGCCAGTTTCTCCCGTACCCTCCTAGATCTATTCTACTCAAATATAGACAGACAGAAGGGCACAGCCCACACGGCAGGCCCAACAGACACCCCACACATACCACTCTGCATGTCACTCTTCCACTTAGTGACACAGCTTGGGAGTTCCTTCCACAGTTCATAAAGATTTTTTTTGGATGGACGAACCACAACATTGGTGTATGGCTATAAAATGTCTTTGATCAAGACCTGACAGATATGTGGGTATTTTCCAAACTTCTCTCAATTCTGAACAGCACTGCGATGAATGCTGTTCTCTACACACCTTTGTACACATGTGTAAGCAGATCTGCAGGACAACTCCCGGGGTTTCTTGAGAGTCCTCAAGGCACAGCACTGGAAGTCAGCCGCAGTTAATATGATCCCAGTTCCTACCCCAGGCCCTAGTTTGCTAAAGGCCCTGCAGAAATGAGTGCTTGCTAGCTCATCCAGTTAGTTCCCCCATGTGCAAAAAAGTGCCTGTTGTAACATTGGCCTTTGTATAGATTTCTGTAACTTCAACACAGTGGCACCCATTCTTCCACTGGAAAGGGGCAGGGACACTCGAAGACAGCTCTTCTCTTCTAGGCCAAGCTGCTCCCCAAGCCACGTAAGTCCAACCTGACACTAAATGACACATCAGGGCCAATTCTTAAAGCCTGGGTTACTCAATCAGATTACAGAAGCCTTCAAACTGGGCAAAGAGCCTTCAAACTGGGCAAAGGTACTTAAAAAAAAAAAAAACAAACCTGCTGATTTGCCTTCTTTTTTATTTCCTGTAACATTTATAGAAAAAGACGATGCTCGAGGTGACAAGAGTTTTTTTCCTATGTGGTGGAGGCAGTGGGCCTTCCACCAGGCTTTGGGTCTCTGCTCCAAGCCAAAGGGAATGGTAATGGGAGAATCATAACCCTGAGGGTTGGAATCAAATGTATTTGATTTGGCATTTCCTCTGAATCTCTCACAAAACAGACAAGCAACTCACTGAAGGAATGAATGATGGAGGAAGAAAGTGGGACTTCCATTTATGTAAGTCCAGCAATATAGATGTTGTTGTCCCCAAGGCCATGCAGAGTTCCAAGAGTGGAAAGAGCTCAAGTGAGGGGTGACTCTAAGGTATGCTTTGAAATAAAGTCAAGTCACCTACACCATGCTTTTTGTTTTCATCAAAATCGCTTAACACCCAAAGCCCCAGCGGGTCTGTCTAATCATTATCCCTTGGCTATACAGTCCTGGAGGTTTTGCCAGAAGGCCTTTTGAAATCTGAGTGTGCAGAGGTGAACATCCTGCTGCTTCTCTCTCTGCTCCTTCCTGACCTGCAAGTCTGCTACAAAGGGGGCAGCAAAGCATAGGTTTCTCTGGCCTACCCACTGGTGGGTCTGCAAGGGGCTCCAGACTGCAGGCCAGCTGGGAAGTGCAAATGGACACTGTCAGAGCAATTTCACTCAAACTAGGAAGTGTGATCTACTGTTCTGTGACCTGCCGTAGCTAGGGCAGGCTGAGAAGATTCTAGTTTGCATGGAACTGAGGGATACTTGACAGTCGGACAGCTTGTCATCCAGGACCCCTTCCTTAGCAACTGGAACCTGCTGTGGTGAAGAGCGAAGCTGGGAGAGACATCTGACTCTTTCAGTCTACCAAAGACTGCGCTGAGACAGCAGACCCCATTCTGATCCGCACACTTGGTGTAGTTTCACCACGGAGGCTGCAGTTGAAAACTAATTTGATCAGACTGCTTTCCCAGAAACGTTCTGTCTCGCAGGGAGAACGGAGGCAGGTGGAATGGAATGGAAGGGCACAGCTTACCGTCCCCCTCGCCCTGTTGTTTGCATAAGTTATTTTTGGAGAGATGGCCATGCTTTAATACTGTACTTCTTAAGAATTATGATAGAAAATGGGTATTTGTGTTGGTTAAGATGAGGCCCTGAAAGTTACCACCATAATGGACTCTCATATTTAAAATATCCTTAGAAATGTTCCATTTTCAAAAAGGTACTCAGGACGAGTCTGTTTAGACTTTCTTCCTCTACTCGGGCTGCATAAAACATATTCTCCTAATGGCTAAAAACAAAAACACAAGGCAACACTAGAGATATTGCTGCTCGAGCCATCGGACATCTGCTTGCTGGCCCACAGGATCCTGGCTACACAGGAGGTACGCTTGTCCATGGAGTGGCTTCCAGCTGTCCCCACCCTCTCACCTGGCTGCAGGGCCACTCAGATGGTGCTATTCTTTTCAATGAATACTGGGAGTGGGGAGAGTGGGAAGAAAAACTTCCCTAAGTTTTGATGAGTCTTCTGCGCGTCAGGAAGTGTGCAAGGCACAGGCAGTCCCAGGAGGACCCTGGAGGAACAAAGCTTCAGTGCAGCTTGGCGGAAACTTGCCTTCCAAGTCAGAAGAGGTGGCTGTGTTCGGGGCTCCCATTAAGGACCAAATATCAGACAGCAGGAATCGGAATGGTCTTAGAAGTTGGGGCCCCAGGGAGAGAAAGAAGGAAAAGGAATTGCCTTCCCCCTGCTTTTCTTTCTGCAAATGGCGATATGAAAGGTGACGGACGCTGCTGTAACTTACCAGCATCTGAGTTGGCTCCTGACATCTGACACTTCCTCTCAACCCTCCTTCTGCTGCTGGGGAGCTGTGGGTACCTAGGACTCTCTGGCTCCTTGGCCTGTTCCCCAGAGTGGAAGGCACCTATGTCTCCTCTTCCACCCCAGATGTTTATTACCTTAGTGGCCCACAACCACTCAACCTTGCTCTGCTTTTTCCCTGTCTCCCCGACCCAGGGGGTGGGTACCAGGGATTGAACCCAGGGACACTTAATCACTGAGCCACATCCCCAGTCCTTTTTTATTTTGAGACAGGGTCTTGTTAAGTTGCTGAGGTTGGCCTTGAATTTGCAATCTTTCTGCCTCAGCTTCCTGAGTGTCTGGGATTACCAGCATGCGCCACAGTGCCTGGCCCGATTGTTTAAATGGTGTGTCCCAAAGACACCAAGGACCCCTTAAGGGCAAGACCCCTATTTCATACAGTGTTTCTTTTAGATCCTGCCCTATGTACCCTGTACAGAGCTGGCATGCTGGAGGTGTTCAGTGACAAACAGTGACAGTCAACCACTTGTCAGATG